CTCTCTCTCTGTCCGCGCGCAGCTCCATCCTTGCCGCGCCCGACGACTCGCGCATTTCCAATTACCTCGATTAAGCCGAGCCGCCGCTTCCTGGAAAATCTGGCTCGGCGTCGCAGCGAGGCGGCCAGCGCAGCCCGTCGAGCGGAGCAGCCAGATAAGCGCCGACAAGCCAGCAGATAAGCAATTTGTAAGCTCGAAAATAATGGAGCGGACACTTTGCCGCGCGCCGGAGAGACCGAGCGATAGGTTATCTGCGCGTGACGAGGGCCTCGCAGCGCTCTCGTCGCCGGAACGGCGCGTCCAGCTCGCGGCCGGGTCGGACCGCGCACTCTGCTCCCGCGGCCCTCCCTCGCTCGCTCGTGCTCTTCTTGGCGCGCCTCGTGCCGTCCTCCGATCAATTACGATCTCCGCTTTAATAGGCTCGCCGTTGTCAGAAACAGTATGTGCGTCCAAAGGGACCAGCAGCTTGAGCGCTCACTCAAACATCATTTTTCCGCCTGGTAATTGGCCTTTCCCGGCTCGTTTTTTCTCAATCTAGGCCTGCCACGCTGCCACGCTGCCACGCTGCCACGCTGCCATCCTGCCGACCACCTCTCGCCGACTAATTTTTTCTTGATTTACGACTGTCGGCCGCGCCGCGCTTCAAAGACTTTTCTGAGAGAGCAGGTCAGCCGTTCGAGGAACCCTCGCCTTCCTCGCCCAGAACTAGTTTCGTCGGCTCGGATAGGCCATCGACGGCGCAGGAATTCATTAGCGATCGATTATCGCTGCCGCTGCCGCTGTCGCTGCCGCTGCTGCTGCTGATTACAATGTTTCTGCTGGCTGTCCGCTGTCGAGTTCTGCTCGGCCGAGCCAACGCCGTGGGACAATCGCGACAGCTGCCCGAGCAGATCAGTCTTCCGATACACGAGCGCGAACTCTTATCGGCGCCCGCTCAATCACAATCGCAACTACCACTAGATTCAGCCCGTGCGAATCGTCGCGGAGCCGCAGCGGAGAAGGCTCCGTACTGCCACCTCGCGGCACCGCCCCGCGCGCTACGAGCCGACTCGCAACTTGCAACGGCCAGCGGGTGCCGAGCTGGCCGAGCGCAGCCAACGACGGGGGCGACGGGGCCAACGAGAGATCCGCCACTGTCGCGGGCTACAACAGCAGCCTTCTTTACCATCGCGTCGTCCTTTTCGCTCGCCGCTCCGGCAGCTGACTGCTTCCGGTAACTTACCGGCGCTCGCTCACTCATCCACAGCGATCTATCTGTATCTAGCTCTCGCTGGCTTTTCTGCTCTATCTTACCTCGAGCACTTCGCATTTTACCAATAAAACAAACTCGACCGACTTACCAGCATCGGCCGACGGCCTTCTCCGGCAGCCAGTCAGCCTGTCGGCTTGCCTTCGTTTTTTCATTTTTTTAGCGCACTGCTGCGCATCGCTTGCAACCGTTGTCTCATTAAATCTGCCAGCTGCCCCTTTTTTGCCTACAGTGCCGTTCTGCCTTTCGGTATCGGTGCCCACCTACAACGTCAATTAATGAAACTTCGTCTAACTTAACACTCGTTTCTCCTAGAATTTATCTATATTCCTACAACGGAACGCGAATTAACAATCGTGGGACAAGTAAGGTTTTGACAACACCCAATCTATGACATCCTTTGATGGCAACGGAATTGAATGTATTACGATCAAACGAGGGAGAAGCGAGTGAACAAAATAAACTTCCAGTCGCTCGATGTAGCTAACAACGTTTCGCTGACCTTATCAGGCTCTATTACATCGAAAAAACCAAAATGGAACATTAATCAAATATTACAATCGACTATTACAATGCAGTATTACAAAATTGTGTGTTGGTTTACCTGTTCGCTACTCTTCAGTGACCGATAGTTTCTTTTGTTCACTCACTTTTCCACCGTTTGATCCTAATATTTTCAATTTCATTAAGAATATGGAGGGGAATACACATATAATGACGATACAATTTAATTGTTCTTCATTGGATTCATTGGATTTTTCATCACGTTTATCATCCATCGATCGTAATGATTCAATTATGATGAATAATGCAATATTGATATTTATTATGAATGTTTGAAAGAAATACTCGTTAATATGTTTCAATAAAGAGACGTAAAACATGAGAAAAAAATGTTGTATCAAATCATCATTAAGAGAAATCTGAAATGACGTGTTTTTAGTGCACTAAAAAAGAAAGGAAGAGAGAGGAACGGGTGACGCTATCCAGAGCTCAGGCCACGTCCTGTCTTTCTCAGCATATTCAAGATTTAGGCAGCAAATAAAAAAAAGAGTCGTTTGATAAGCTTTGATCGCTAGCGGGCTACCGTTTGGTATTCTTAAATCGCTTCTGGAACTTCCGCCGATGCTCCCTTTCATTTAATCACTTCTGCTCGCGCGCGCGCGCGCACCATCGAATTAATATCTCGAGCCGGGAGCTAACCACACGGAATTTCGCGCAAACTTCACACGAACAGCTCTTGTTTTCGCGCATTCTCGCTCTTCAATTGAATACGACGTAGAGGCTACTTTTGAAGCAACTGTAAAGCCTTCGCGCGAATGAAGCTAGTGTCGTTTGTTTGCTGCCATAAGAACACAATCCGAGACTCGTTGGCGCGACCGTCATCGGCACAAAATATCCAAATCGATAGCTACGTACTCGCCAACAGTGCTGGCAATTTTAATCATTTTTCTTTGCCTTTGGATGAGATTAGCTGAACAATCGCCATAAAAAAACAACTTTTTACGCGGAAACTCGCTCGTAAAATGCACCGAACGGAGGCGAAAGACGCAGTAAAAACAACGCAGCCAACCACATTAGCGAAGCCCCTATCTCCATACCAAGACTTCAAATCTGGTACAAAATGAATTTGGCAAACCTATGCAATAAGCTGAGTGTACTCGAATTCTTACTATCGTTTATTAACAACGGAGAGAAGCTACCGTGCATGCAAATCAAGTGCTACGCGGAAAGTTTCGTGAAAATGAATCAGTTTGCGGGCTTGCGCAAGGTTCTCACGGCGATCGACACAACCTAACGCAAGCAGTCGGCCATCTCTGTCGAAAGCCGCAGCAATGTGGCTATCGAGGTACCGACAGGTGTCCGATGAAAAGGTGAAAAGGTTAACTGTTAGAAGGCAAACAGTTAGGTATCAGGCGCAAAGCGGCAAAGCGGCAGAGCGGCAGAGCGGCAGAGCGATAACGACGAACGCTCGTCCACTTTAACGAAGAACTGGTCCGCATGCAGCTGAAGTAAGGATCGGAGCCAGACTTTTCCGAAAATCTCCAATAAACAAGGTTTCAAGTGACACAGCGAGCGTGGTAATGGGGAGCGAAGCGCGTTTTCGCTTCGTCAGGCGGCCGATTTTCGAGGTCCCGGGCGTTCTGGAAAATGTTATTCGGCCGAATAACGAATAAGGAATAACGTACGAGGCAGCGCTCGACTCGACTCGATCCGGTCGTCTAGACAGCCAGAGCCGCGCGATCGTCTGGCCGGCGAAGCACTTCGCCACTGGCCGGAAGAGCAGCCCGCGCGATCCGGCCCGTCGGCGCGGATCGCTTGCAGCCGGAGCAAGCGCTTCCGTCCAAGCGGGGCGCAGCGCTCGATCGGTCGTTCGGAGTCGTAGGTGTAAAGTGGCCGCGTAGCGGACGGAGCCCCGAGTGGCGCGCGCCGGTCGTAAACCCAGGCGCCAGGCCGAGCCGGCAACGCGGGGACGGTGCGCGAGCCACTTCCGCGTGGCTGTGGCTCCGACGGCAGGCGGCCCCCGAGCGCGCGGGTGCGCGGCTCGGCTCGTCGTGGGAGGCAGCGACGCGCGCCGCCGACAATGGGGCTCTTTGTGCGCCGCGCGGCGCCGCCGTCCTGCAACTGGACACCAGCCACTCTCGATCGCTTTCTCTCTTTCTCCGCTCCGCGACGCGATGCTCCGCTTTGCTCGGCGCGCGCCCAGTTTGCCGCGAAAATGTTGCGAAAACGCGGCGTCTTAGCGCAAGCCGTACGCAGAGCCCTCGGCCGCCGAGCCGCAGCGAGCGGCGCACTGCACCGCCCGTTCGGACTGCAGCGGCGCCTTTCCCACACTCGCATGCTCGCGCGCTCGCTGCCTATCGCTGTTGGCCGCAGGCCTGTCGAGGGACGCGAGCCACAAGTGCGTGGGTGCTGCCACGAGGAATTACCCTCTCTCTCTCGCTCTCGCTCTGACTGCCTCCCCGCGTCGCGTCGGGTCTACGCTTCCAATGCCCACGTCTGGACTATGTTATAGACCGCTTCGGGGCAAAACAACAGAACCATTCTCTCGTCGCGGCATTCCCCATGGGAAAATCGATGCCGGTTCACCGCGTTTCGAATGCGCTTGTAGCTGTACATCATCGGCCACATTGGCCCTTTCCGCTCGTGGTGCCGCTGCTGCCTGGCCAAGACAACTCGGTAGTTTCTGGCGAATCTGGCGAAACAACGTCCGTCCCGGGAGTGCCCGGCGGACGAGCGCCGTGGAACGAGAGCGGCGCCGAATATCCCGTGAAAACGATGTGCCGCGCGGGCCGCGCAGCCGAGCGAGCGCTATATAGGCCGCACGTGCGCTTGGCGCGCGCGATTGGCTTGGCAGTCCGCGATAGGCGGCCCGCGTGCCTCGATCTCCGCCCAGCAGTCGTTTCTAGCCATGGCTGTCTCGACGAAGCTGGCATAGAAAAGGGCTCGACGGAGCTTCGCGCGCCGGCGAGTCCGCGAGCTCGCGGTCGGCCGAGCGCCGCTCGCGGACCCGCGGACCCGCGGCCGGCCGAGCGGCCGCGCAGCCCGCAACGATCGAGCGGGGAGGGCAGGCCGACGGCCGAGGACGCGGCGCCGGGTTGACGCCGGTGCCAACGCGAGCCGCGGCCGGCGAGGACCGTCGGGGGCCGGCCATTGGCGGAGAATCTCCACCCACCAACGGCAGCGCGGCGCGACGGCTCGACGGTCGGCCGCGCGCCGAGACGCGCATTGCGCGCCCACCCTCCGAGGCGCGCGCTCGAGTGCCCGTCGCCAGCGCAGTCTCCTCCAGGCAGTCCGCGCGCGCGCGCCGCCCCGGCATGCCCCTGCTGTAGGATGCTGTCGAGCGCGAGTTCCGCCACGCCGTTCGGGGTGCGAGACATCCTCAGTGCGGAGCAGGCGGTCGACGCCATGGACTGCTACCAGACCGAGCTGCAGGCCCAGCACGGCCTGGCCGGCCAGCTGCAGCCCGACTACTACGGCTACGCCGCGCTGCCGGACCCCGGCTGCTGGGACCTGGACAGCAAGCCGAAGGACCAGCAGCTCGCGCCGGGCCAGGCCTTCCAGGCCTACGGCGCCGAGATGAGCCACGTGCAGCAGCTCGGCCAGGTGGTGCCGCCCGCGCCCTACCAGGACCCCCCGCTGCCCGAGGACGGTAAGCGCCGCGCTCGCGGCCCGCCCGGCCCGCCCGGCAGGGGGCTCCTCCTCACCGACTCCGGCTTGCTTGGCGTTTCAGGCGACCTCGTCACCTCCAGCAGGACCGAGCTGCGCAAGAGCCAGTCCTGCAAGCGGACCAAGCGGAAGCCGCGCGTGCTCTTCTCGCAGGTGAGTGCCCGCAGCAGCGAGCGGCCCGACCCGCGCCAGCCCTCGACTAACCCGCCCGCGCGCTCGCGCCGCAGACGCAGGTGTACGAGCTGGAGCAGCGCTTCAAGCAGCAGCGCTACCTGAGCGCGCCCGAGCGCGAGCTGCTGGCCCAGGCGCTCAAGCTGTCGAGCACGCAGGTGAAGATCTGGTTCCAGAACCGGCGCTACAAGAGCAAGCGCGCGCGCATCGAGGACGCGGAGAAGCTGCAGAAGGGCGCCGCCGGGCCGCGGGCTCTGCCGGGCAGGCGGCCAGGGCCGCCCGCGCCGCCCGCGCCGCCCGCGCCGCCCGAGCCCGCCAAGCCGCCGGGCCTGGCGTTCGGCTGCTGGCCCGCGGCCTGCGCGCCGCCCGAGCACGCCGGCCCCGCCTACGCCCCGGCCAGGGGCCCGCCGCCCGGCGACGCCCCCGCGCCCGCGGACCTGGGCTTCGGCTTCCCGGCGCCGGCCAACCCCCCCTACCCCGCCATGCAGCCCTACTACGGCTTCGTGGAGCAGGCCGCGATGGACCAGAGCTACCAGAGGTTCTGGTGAACGCGCTGCGCCGCCCGCTCCTCGCGCGTCCGAGGCGCCCTTGTAAAGACTCTCTAGCCAGTAACTAGTGTTTAAGCGCTCCTGCGAGCAACCAAAGATTCTCCGCTGTTCTTACTCGATGTGGCGATCGCTCGCCAAACGCTGTAGCCATTAAAGCCTCTTGTTTCTACCAAACTCGCTCTCTTCCTTCTTCGTTCTCCGATTCCTCTGCCGAAGCGCTCTGCGCCCGCGCGACCGGCGACCAGCCGGGGAGACCAGCCTCCGAGCGGTCACGCCTCGTCGTTGGACGGATTGCGCCCTGGTCGCGCCCTTTTCACGATGGGACGACGAGCCAGCGAATCGCCAGTGGATCGCCCGTGAGACCAGACGGCCCAGCGCCATTGCAAAGTTATAAATATTTCCTCCGCTGGAATGGCAACCGGACGTTATAAATAGGCAAAGCTCCGACAAGTCGGAGCGAGCCGACCGGAGGCTTTTAGGTTATCTTGCAACGACGGGTCATCTGGCAGTCAAGTGTCTACGTATAAAACGTTCGCACGCGCCTCTACATACTTACGCGCGCGCGTGTGTGTGTGTGTGTGTGTGTGTGTGTGTGTGCGGGTGCGCGGGTACGTGTGTGCTCCTTGCTCGCATCGTCTCTCCGATTAGCCGGAACATATACGCTGCTACCGCGGGTATCGTCAAACGACGGTGGAAGAGACTTAATAAAACTGTCAAGGTGTCCAATAAATACACCTAATACGTTCTGTATTTCCATTTAATTTGTCTACTTTGCGCCTAATCAACGACAAATTTAAAATATTTTTCTATCCTAGACACCACATTTTATTGATTTTCCAAGTTGTCTCATTATATCTTCAAGTATCCGAGTCAAGCTATATTTTTTACGTTCTTTTCGCATAAGCGTTTTTTTTTTGGCGTATAACATTTTCTTCGTCCTGATTCCTTTGTTTTCTACGATGTACTTTATGCGCTACTTTCAATTCTGAGATTGAACGAAAATAACTTGGCGGATCATTGTTCAAAATCAATCGAATAAACAAACGCGTGGAATTATTTTCGTGAACATAAAAGTTCGTTTTGCAACGACACAAATTCTACGCGATCCTTTACGCGACTTTATTGGAAAGATATTTTCTCATTTGTCTTAATTAATATTACATTTCAATGGCATAGAAAAAAGTAATCTATGTTAAAAGTGCTTCGATGGTCTTTCGTAGTTATTCATTTCTATTTTCTTTAATGAATTGAAACAATTGAATTTATGGATTAGTTTGAAAGGAATTTAATTATTAAATTATGTCACAGCTACGCTGATAGAGGTATAATTTGCTTATATAGAATATTACCCGTTCAAATGAGCTCGATAATGTAATTAAAAAAGAACGTCAAATCGGTATCGCGTCAAAAAATGATATTTACTTGTAAAATCAATCCTATTTGATCAGGACACGTTTATATTTTCTATTAAAATGTTTTGATTTGTATTTCACGTGATATTTGAAGGGAGCGCCCGGAAGAGTACTGTTGACACTTAATTTTATGGGCAAAGTTCAAAGTGCCTTGCATGTTACCCTGAGCGTCAAATCACTCACGTGACAATCATGTTTATGGAGTTCACGTTATTTGTCAGGATTAACTGTACTGGAAGATAAGTTTTAATAAAATCATTTTTTCATATCTAAAAAGTAGTGAATCTGTGCACACCGTTAAACCTTTTAATAGATTGTGTATCGTGTTGAGAATGACTAATTCTAAAACGTATATTGGAAATGTTCAAACATTAATTAAAGCATATTGCGAGCATTCCGAGAGGACAAGTTGAAACAAAGACAAAAATGGATATTTGATGCCTTTTGGTATACTTTTAGCGAAAAAACAATAAGAAATAACACAACGAGGAGGGCGCGAGCAATAGAAGCGGAACGATGAATTTAAAGGAAGCCAGCGATTTAAAATGCGTAATCAATCACGTGTACGAGAGTGAAATTGGATCGTGTTTGACTAGCAAAGGGGTACGTTCGATCGGGGGCTATACCTTCGTACAAAATCAACGCGTCCTTTTATCTTGCACATATGGCCTGCCTTTACGTCTCTGCGTACGCGCGTAAAAAGCTTCGAGTGCTGTATTTACTCGTCGTTTTTCCAACGTCATTTATCACAGTGGCTGGCTTGTCTTCATTCGGACCTCGGAATGAAATCAATGCCACGCAACGTAAACATTCGGCTTTGATTTGCTATTGTTATTCCCGTTAACATAATATTATTGGGCCGAAGCTCATCAGGCATACAAATTTCAAGTGTATTCCACGTGACTGCGGAATATGTCAGAGGGCACATTCCTAATGGCGGCGCGAATGCGCGCAACCTACAGTCGATAACGCAGCGTGCTTTGCGTATTAACGTTTGAAGCTCACAGAGCGGACGCCAATAATATCTTGTCGGATATGTATCATTCAGAGATAACATCCAACGGTTGGTTTAGATGGCTGCTTGCCGTATAATGGATAATGATTCGCTGCGATAGCGATTTGCATTTGAAAGGTCGTTCAACTGTGCACACTTGTGAATATCTGTTTTGAATATCTGTAACTACCTCGGTATGATTTAGCATCGATAACTGCTGGGCAATAAATTGAATTTTGAAAAGATTAATCTTTGTTTGATACAGTCGAAGAAAGCTTTCATTCGCACAATTACCCGAATGAAGCCGTGAAAGGAAATAAGCGATCGGTCAGAAGTCGAGATTCGAAATCCTCTCGTTTGGTTTGGTCAAGTTCCGAAAGTAACTTTCGTTTATTTTCGTCGGATGAGGATAAAAAGCAAGTTACGGTCCGCGTCTCGTCAGCGGAAGAAAATGATTTATTTAAACGAACCGAATAATTAAAAAAGTAAGTAGTCGAGTGTCGAAATGTGGGCATTTAACGAATCTACAAGTCGAGCTGGCAAAGTACGAAGGCTCGAACGAGATCCCGACTCGAGATCCGGCACGGGTGAGGCTTAATTGATAGCGAGGATGAACGAGCAAGGAGAAGCGAGAAGAAGAGCGAGAGGAGTGCGAGAGGAGTGCGAGCGGAGAGCGAGGTGGAATGGATGGCGAGTGAATGAACAGTAGTGCATATACCGAGCACTAATATTACATCTTTGGACTGACAGACGTGTGGACTTTAAAAGCCAAGACTAACAAACAGTGAGCAGTCATCCGGTCTTCTTGTTTTTATGTTCTTCCGCGGATAGGACGGAGCCGCTCGGCTCGCACGAACGACCGAGCGAGCCTCGAGTCTGGAGATTATTTTCGAATGTCTCGTTGGCGCTGCATTCTATTAACCCATCGGGGCTGCGGAGTGCAGCCGCACGGCCGAGCTGTCTCGGCGTTTCGGCGTTTCGAACAAAGTTGCAAAAGTCGGCTGTGCCGCCGGGTCAGCGCGCGCGCCGCGGGGAAGCTCCAAATAAGGTATAATTTTCCGCGCCAATTAAGGTCTTTAAGAATTGCGACCAATCGAGCGGCAGGCTCGTAAGGCTTTGGGGGCGAGCGAGCGCGCGCGAGATGTTGGCAGCTGCTTCTCCCCTGTAATTTATTATTGATTAGATTGATTCGCGACGAGAAAGGTCCTTCTCCCCCCCCCCCCAACCCGCCTCTTTTTCTTCGCTGCCTTCGCTTCCTTCCTTCCTGCCTGCCTGCCTGCCTCCTTTCGCTCGCGACTTGACTCCCAACTCCGATCCGAGTCGCCCTCCCCGCGGCTCCGATCAGACTTATCATCGGCGCAACACTTTGCGGTCGCGAACGCGCGCACTCGCCCCGTCGATCCGTCGACCCGTCGCCCAGGCGCAGGCCAAAGAACAAAGGGCCCCGCGGGCTACTCGACTGCGAGCACCGGCGCGAGCGGATAAAGGCGCGCCCAGTCACGAGTGCGGAATCGCCTGCGAAAATGCCGCAGGGACGCACGCGCCGGCCCATCATCGGCTCAAGTGAGGCGTATTTAACGCTCCTGTGGTTCACACCTAATTAAACCGACAGAGTCGCGGAGTGAACTCGGAAGCGCAGCACGTGCCAGCACAATGGCCCACGGTCTTTAGCGCCGATTGTCATGTAAAGCACACCCGACTCGCTGTCGCGCGCTCGCGCCTCCGTGCCTCGTCGCTGGCGAGCTCTGTCGCTGTGGCGCTGCGACGCGTCTCTCGGCCGAGCCGAGGCCGACTTGCGAAAATCATTAAAGCCCATTCATACTTGAGACGCACTCTCCCGTCTCGGCCTGACCGCCACCAGCGCGGACCTCGAACACGTAAGTCGATACCCACTTGCCAGCGCTCGAGGCACAGGCTGACCGATCGCGGTCTTGCCGAGCGTAGGCATTCGCAGCGTGGCCACCGCGGAAGCACGAAAGGCGGGAGCGTCGGATGATCCAAGTGTGATTAATCGGCCGGCCCGAAGGAAGCAGGGACGACGCCGAGTAAATATAAGAGGCGCGCAAGTGCAGCGTAAGTTGGCCGAGTGTCGAGTGGAGCGAGGCGAGGCGAGGCGAGGCGAGGCGAGGCGGAGAAGAAAGAGCGGGAGCCTGGAAAAAGTGGAAAAGGCACTCTCGCGAGAGAGCGCGGAGAGCGGGTCGGAGCTTAAAAGCCCTCTCGCGGCAAGTTCGCACTCGGCGCAAGCTCTGGCGCGCGGCCGCCGGCTGCAGCATTGGCTGGGCACTCGGCTGGAGAGCGGCGTGGATTGGTCGGCCGCGTCGCGAGTCGGGCCGTCCCCGGCGCGCGCGCTCGCTCCTCCCCGCGCGAGCCGCTCCGAGCCGCTCGGCGCCGCTTATCCGGCGCGCGACACTCGAGCCGCGGCGATGCTCGACTCGACAGCAGCCGGCGTTGCGCTCCGCTGAACGGTCGAGCACCCGAGCCGCAGTTCGCGCCGCGACCCGCCATGCAGGAGGCCTCGCTGTCGCCGAAGGCCGCCGGCAGCCAGCCGACGCCCTTCAGCATCGCCGACATCCTGAGCCGCCGCCACGGCCGGCAGCCGCAGCACTCGCAGCAGCAGCAGCAGCAGCAGCAGCAGCAGCAGCAGCAGCCGCCGCCGCCGCCGCCGCCACAGCCACAGCAGCAGAGGCAGGAGCAGCACGAGCTCAAGGTGGCGCGCATGCTGGTCAAGAGCGAGCTGCTCGAGGCCTCCTACCAGCAGCTGCTGGCGGCCGACCTGCTGCGCCGGAACCTCGCCCAGGCCGGCGGCTGTTGCCTGGGCGCGCGCCAGCCCGAGCTGCTGCTGCGGGCCAGCCTCGAGCCCGACGAGTTCGCGCCGGCCGGCACCGAGCCGCGGCGCAGGCCGCACCAGGACGAGGCGCTCGACATGAGCAAAGCCAAATACCTCGGTGAGACGCACTTTGCTTTTTCCCGGCTGGACCTCTGCGCGCGCTCGATTATCGCTAAGCGGCGGCGGCGGCGGCGGCGGCGACGACCAGCAGCGGCCTGCGCCTACTGAATGTTATTTTAGTATGGCATAAGTGCCCACTTGACGCTCCGCGCGAGCGCTTATCTCTCTCACTGGCACTTTGTGCACTTGCCAGCGCGGCGCGGACTACGTCAGCCGCTGGTGCGTCGCGTCGGGCCGCGATCCGGTCGCCCGCGAACGCGCGCGGCGCGCAGCCTCGTCCGGCCACTGCGCGTGCAGTCTAAACAAGCGCGCGCGCGATGTTTAGCTAGCTGATTTATTAATAATCCGCGAGCGGCGCCCGGAGCTCGTCGTGTCACTCGAGGCCGATCGATCGTCTCGGATTACGCGCGAGCACTTGCAGTGGAGCGCGCCATCACGCTGCAGATCAGCTTGCCGACCGGACGTCCCCACGCGGCGGGGAATCAATCACGCCCCGGAGCGCCACGCAGCACCCGGAGAGGCTCTCGCCCCCGCGCGCATCGGATGACAAGTCACACATTCGCACTCGCGCTCTCTTGACACAGCTCTCGCGCGAGCCGATCGGCTCGGCGGCTCGGCGGCCCGACGGCCGACGCGCCCATCGATCGACGCCCGCGCGCGAGCAGCCGCCCAATTAACTAATGCATAGCACCAGTTGGCACCGATTCAACGGCTCCAGTTCCATTGGCCGAATGGCCGCTATCCTTTCAGCCGGCTGCACTCGGCGCCCGTGATTCGCACAAAATCGCGCGCGCGCTCGCTCGCGAAAGAGCTTAACGAGGCTGCAGTTTATTATAGGCCGCGGCTGAGAGAATCCGTGTCGAGCGAGTAACAGGGGGAGCCAGGCACTGCGCGCACCGCGTCGCGTCGCGTCGCGGAGAAAAGGAGCAGCCAAGAGTGACGGACTAAACTATTGTGGCGGGCAGGCGAGCGTTGGCGGAATTGAGTGGACGCGCCCGTACGCCGCCTGCTCGGTCGGACGGACTTGGAGCTCCGCCCGCAGGCACAGGCACGGGGCCAGGCGCAGTCGGCCACGCGCGCGCCGGCTGCGGCCCGCGCCCGAGCTCAGATTGCAGCTCTCGGATGCTTGCAGACGAGATGGACGAGGACCTGTACGAGGCGCAGTGCCACGCCGGGCAAGCGGCCAGCGGGGGGGCCCTCGGCTCGGCCAGCCGGAAGAAGCGCAGCCGCGCGGCCTTCTCGCACGCCCAGGTCTACGAGCTGGAGAGGCGGTTCGCCGCGCAGAAATACCTCTCCGGCCCCGAGCGCGCCGATTTGGCAAGAGGCCTCAAGCTCACCGAGACGCAAGTCAAGATTTGGTTTCAAAATAGACGGTAAGCTCATCCGCGTTCGTGCCTCGTGCCTGCCACGACTACTTGCCGCCCGGGCCAATGCGAATCCTCGAGCACGCGTCGGAGGAAGGATCTCCGGCCAGCCGATCCCTGGATCTTACTCGGTCCGGCACCCAAGCAGATTTTCATCGCGCGCCCTGCGCCAAAGTTCGTCCTTTGCCTTTTGTTCTGTTCGTTTGCAGACGTACCTTGCTGCGATTGCGTGCGACTGCCAAATATCGTCATCAACGGCGCATCAAAGTTATCGCGCTGACTCTCCAAAAATCGTCCTCGTCGTTTTTTTCCTGTCGAAATACTTTGCAATTTTTTCAAAGATCGAATTTGCAAGGCATAGCTTTCGACGTTGCGCCAAGCTGTTATTAACGAATCACGTATATCGTCTCGCAATTTTTCACTACGATTTCCTGGCCTTCTTCGTTGTAGCCTCTTTCATCGTTTAATTATTTCTTACACTGACACGTCTTCGTCGTACTTTCTTCACTCTCTAGTCCACTCATTTACGTATCTTTGTTCTTAAACTAATTCGTAGCTCACCTAAATTATGTGATGCCAGGATTTCTCGAGACCAATAACGTGTTTTTTCAAAAAGTCATAAAACGTCGTTTCGACAATCATGAATAATGACGGGCATCGACATTTCGTTCGTTCTCTACGACGCAAAACCAAGACAAGTCAGTCAGTGTTTTTAAAAACTCTGTGAAAGCCACGTAAAAAAGCCAAATAACAGGAATAAAAAAATGTATTTAATGTATTTTATATGGCATCGACAGGATTTCCGTATCAAGCCGCGTGAATCTTTTTGTCAGCCCTCCGGTAAATATAAACGAATCGTGTAAGCGTGAACGAGTTGAGCCCAAATTTAGTTGCGGGCGACAGTGTTATCTTGTTAGTCGTTATCCGAGGAAAGTCGAAAAAAGCATCGAGTTGAATATTTTCTTTTCCATTCGGAAAGTCGAAGACTAATAAACCGAATAATCTGTACAACAGACTAGCATTAGGCGGAGGAGCGAGAGCAATATCGATATCCAATTTCGAGCGAACGCGAGCAGCGCTACTCCCCGATGAAAAGCTCGGGAGAAGCTTGCGAGCTACTTGCAGGTGCTTTCGGGGACTCTCGTCCGATTTTCAGCCTCCACATATTCGGATGTGATTTCTTAGGTTAACTCGCTTTCTGAAATCGACCGACCGAGCGCGCACGAGTTGCACCTCGCGACGCGAGACACCGCGTCTCGTGGAGTCCACGATAAAGGGAAAGACTGTGCGCGAGGCTGCGTGCTCCGGGCGAATTGGCACGGGGCAAGTGGGCGCCGCCACGAAGGCACGGATGGACTGCAAGGTGACGTGTTGCAGGTACAAGACGAAGCGGCGCCAGCAGCAGGAGCTGGGCGCGCTGGTGTCGTCGCAGGCGGCGGCGGCGGCGGCGCGACGAGTGGCGGTGCGCGTGCTGGTGCACCCGGAGGAGCAGCAGCTGCAGCCGGGCCTGCCGCTGGCGGGCGGCGCCAAGCCGGGCGGCTTCCCGTACTACTGCCTGCCCTACCACCCGCTGCTGTGCCCGCCGCTGCTGCAGCAGCCGCCGGCCGCGGCGCCGGGCCAGCTCGACGAGCGGCTCGCGGCCGCGCGCGCGGACCAGCCCACCTGAGCGCTCGACGCCGCGCCCTGTAGATAGACGCGCGCTTGCTCGCCAGCGCGGCCATCTGTACATACGAGCCTGTAAATAATTGTACAAAGATAGCGCGGAGCTGCCGCTGTAACGAGAACGAGTCGAATAAAAGCACGCCGATACACCAATGTCGCAGTTGTGTGATTGCCGCGCAGCCCGCGGTGTTTGTTTGGAGGAGGGTCGGGGGCTCGTCGCCGACGGTCCGCGCCCGCAGCCGAGCGCGCGGGCCGACGGCGGGCCGCGCCGCACGGTGGGTGGCCCCTCGAGTCCCTCGAGACACGCGAGACGTGTTTGTTCAGACGGGCCGAGCTCGCCGAGGCCGCGCGGGCGAGGCGCGGGCGAGGCGCGGGCGAGGCGCGGGCGAGGCGCGTCCACGGCTGCTCGGCCACTTGTCGCCCCGCTCGCTGCTAGTCGGCCACGGCTGCTCGGCTGCTCGGCTGCTCGGCCGGATGGAGAAAAACTTTACGGCCGCTTCTGCAGTCCATTACCGTGTTGTTTATAACGATTTGTAAACAGAGAGAGTGCGATGGCGCATCGCCTGGCCGTGCGTGCATCGCCTTGCTTCGGCGGCGGCCTAACGAGCCGTGGCTTCTTGATATTTTACGCGCTTCTGCGGCCTCCGTCGGAGAAACAGACAGCCGAGCGTTTCGCGTCTCCTCTTTCTTGCTCGCTCCGCCACGCGCGCCAACAGGCGAATTATACTTTCAAATCCCGATTGGCGTGCTCTTCGTTCGCGCCCGCTCTCCCCTCTTCCTCCTCCCCCCCGCCGCTCTCTATCTCTTCCGTTTTTCCGTCGCCAAATGGCTTGTGCGATAATCGGTAATCGCCGCAAAAAATATCCGCGCAAAAGAAAGCCGCGGCAATCAGCTCTCGTTCGACTTGCAGCCGACCGAACCGCGCTGGAGCGAGCGCACGCGAGCGCACGCGAGCGCACGAGGACAAGAAGGGCAAGAAGGGTTGGACTACAGTTAAATGCGAGCAGAGCGAGGCGACGCGCTAAACGACAGCGGAAGGCAGAAAGAAAAAGGACGGCAGGGGGCAGCCATTAGCAACTAATGAAAATTAGCTTCTTTCGGCTGATTGAGCGACAAATCGTTCCTTTCTTGCCGCGGAACGAACGAAATCCGCCAGTCGCCGCCGCCTACTCGTTCGAGCCTCCATAGACTCATTCCCCATTTGGACTGGCGCGCTCCGCTTTTCGCTGCCACGACTAGTCGAAATGCCCAATTAGTAGCTTCCGAAAAAGGCCAACTGCTCGACGAGCGTCGCGAAAAAAGGCCGACGATGTTTGGAGAAAATCAGGAGTCGAGAGTTCCCGGCGTAGGCGCGTTTCCTTGGCAACCCTACCAGCTGGAGTGCGTGCGAGAGCTTGCACGTACTAAAAATTAGAGAGGGGCAGGCGCGCTCGGAGTCGGAGGCGAGCGAGCGTGCAGCCAGAAAATCCGCAAGTTTGAGCCGGCAATTTGGCCGTGAGAAAGGCGCCTCCTCGGACGCTCGGCGCTGCCGCTCGTTGTTGCGAGACTCTCGAGTGCGCGAAAAAGTGCTCTCGCGAGAAGCCCTCGGGCCGCCGAGCGATGCAAGCGTCCTCCGACCAAGATGTGCTTTGGCCTCGGAGTACGCGGAATCGGAAGCCGCCGCGGAGGAGCATGATGCAATTGTGCGAAAATGCAGCGCAAAGGGAAGCGCGGCTGCGCTCGGCGACTCTGAAAGGAGGACAATTTAGCGGCCGATTGATCCGCGCGTCGCGAGACCAAATTGGCGGCCAATCAGCGGCGCTTCATGCGCCAATTCTTCGCTTTTCATCGGCGACGACCGCCCGAGAGGCCGGGAGACGCCGGGAGACGCCGGCAGAGGCGCCGACTCTTTCTTGCCACGGCCACTTGCGAGGCGAAGCCGATTGCCGCGAGCCGGCCAGTTGGCGGTGCGCAGTTGCGGAAGGACGGAGGCAGCGGCGGCGCGGCTATAAATAGGGCCTCGGATTACCGGGTAGCGCGAGCGCAGCCCGTCGAGGCGAGCCCGTTGGACAAATAAACGGCCGGCTGGCTGCGAGGTGCCAGCGGCTAGAGACTGGTCCGCGACCGTTTTTCGACGCACCCACGTGCCTCGGTGCCTCGGTTTCCCTCGTCGAGGCGAGCCCGGCCTTACCCGCCGAGGCGGCCGCCGACCGCCGCTCGAGCGTCGATCGCCGCTGACCGCCCGTCGCTCGCCGCTCGTCGGTCGGGCGCCTCCCTCCGGCACTGACGGTCGCGCTCGGCGCGTGCGCGCTTGCGCGCCGTCGGTAAGGTCGAGCTCCGCGGCGGAGCGACCGGCCGAGCTGCCGCGGACCAGCAGAGGGCGCGCGGAGGCCCGCGGCCAGCTCGGCTCGGCGCGGCGACCAGCCGAGGAGAGTGGCATCGATCGGCAGAAAAGCCCCGCGACCCCCGGCGGACGGACGCGAGCTTGCGAAAGAACGCCGAGCTGGCCTCGCTCCGCGCAATCCGCATGGGCACTCCGGCCGACCGGAGCTCGGCGAGGCAACCTAGTTCGGCAGGCCGCTGGCCAGGCAGGAAGGCGAGCAAGAGCGCCGAGCGAGTGACAGGTGACAGCCGTAAAAAGGATGAGTTGGTCGTTCGAGTTGCACGCCGCTCGCTGCACGCTGCGGGTAGGTGCTGATTAAGTCGAACGCTCGCTACACACACGCATGCACGAGCGTGCATTTGCACGCTCACATGCGCGAACCTGTGGCTCTTTGTGCGAACAGAAGGTAAATAACGAGTTGCAGTCGGCGGCGCCGAATGGCTTAACAATTAGCCTGCGCGGTAGCTCGAGGCTGCATTTGCATACTTATTTTGCAGCGGCTGGTGTTCCAGCGGACTTATGTAAAATCTGTTGGGCCAAGCGGCCGCGCTCGAGACAATGCTCGATTGCTCGCGCCGACGCGCGCTGGGCGTCCATTAAAAGCGAAAGGAGCAGCGACGCGCGGCGCGGCCGAGCAGAGCAGCAGAGCAGCCGAGGCGCGATGCCGAGCGCGAGATCAGCCGTATTCTCCGATGCTATTAGTCGCGGGCCCGCTAATTATTTCATTAGAGCGCCGAGCGCGAGAGTGTGAAAAAGGAGGCGGACCGCGCGGCGGAGGGAAAGTGAAAAGTGCCTGGCCGTGACTGCCTTATCTCGATCTCTCGATCTCTCGATCTCTCGGTCGCTCGGCCTGCCGAAGAAAGAGTCTGGCCCCACTAATTTGGCGGCTAGTGGATCCGCGCGCTCCGTGCGCGCTCTGCGGGCCCGAGCCCCGAGCCCCGAGCCGCGAGCCGCGAGCCGCGAGCGCCCTGTCAGAGCCGCTTTGAGTGGCACGCTAAGTGAGGGCCTGCTGCCTCGGCGCTGCGCGCGGCGACGTTGCACATGTGCCGCGGAGCTGCTCGCGAGCGCGTACGTGTGTGCGTGCACGCTCCATTGTTTCACAAACAAAAGACGGCCGCTTTGCCAGTCATGGCGGCGAGGCTTTGAACGCCCCTCGGCCAATCGGCGGGCCAGCGCCGGCCACCTCGTCGGCCACCTCGTCGTGCGCGCAGCCTGCACGCGCAGTGCCTCGCTGCGCCCGTTTGTTTATCGAAAAACTGGCCAGACTTCCGCGGGTTTTTGCGCGACGGGCCGCTCGTCGCCTGGAATCGCCTGGCCGCTGCCTCCGCCTCTGCTCTCTCGGGCCTCGCGCACCAGTGTTCCTGCGTCGTTCGATTTCGCTGCGCCTCTCCGTTTCCGCATTCGCACCTTCCGGGCAAACTGCAGCTCTTCGAAGCAGCGCTGCAGTCGTCGAACCTCGTACCTTGATGCTAGGCGAGGTGCGGAAAGCAACCTTTAGCCGGCTAACCGGCTGACGCATCGAAAGCGTGTCGAGAGTCGGATGAGAAGCCAATAAAACATGTGCCATTGAACGAGCCACGGCAAAACGATTAGTATCAGCGCTGGAGTTTTATCGATTAACGCCAACCGAGAGAGCGACGTACAGCTGAGGAAAACGTAAGGCAAAGAAGGCTGTTGCGTGAGCTGACATAACGTAGGCGAGTCTTCAAGTGCGCCGGCATCGATTCCGGGTCGAGCGGGCAGATGAACTCGGCTCGCGGTGCCGGCAAAGACGGCAAAGACGGCAAAGATGGCAAAGACGGCAAAGACGGTAGAGATGGCAGAGACGGCAGAGACGGCAGAGACGGCAGAGACGGCAGAGACGGCAGAGACGGCAGAGACGGCAGAGACGGCAGAGACGGCAGAGACGGCAGAGACGGCAGAGACGGCAGAGACGGCAGAGACGGCAGAGACGGCAGAGACGGCAGAGACGGCAGAGACGGCAGAGACGGCAGAGACGGCAGAGACGGCAGAGACGGCAGAGACGGCAGAGACGGCAGAGACGGCAGAGACGGCAGAGACGGCAGAGACGGCAGAGACGGCAGAGACGGCAGAGACGGCAGAGACGGCAGAGACGGCAGAGACGGCAGAGACGGCAGAGACGGCAGAGACGGCAGAGACGGCAGAGACGGCAGAGACGGCAGAGACGGCAGAGACGGCAGAGACGGCAGAGACGGCAGAGACGGCAGAGACGGCAGAGACGGCAGAGACGGCAGAGACGGCAGAGACGGCAGAGACGGCAGAGACGGCAGAGACGGCAGAGACGGCAGAGACGGCAGAGACGGCAGAGACGGCAGAGACGGCAGAGACGGCAGAGACGGCAGAGACGGCAGAGACGGCAGAGACGGCAGAGACGGCAGAGACGGCAGAGACGGCAGAGACGCCAAGGTTCTCTGGCCAAATTGCGCGCTAATGGTTTGGAGAGGCCTATTCGCGAGTCCGAAGAGCAATGTTTGGAGGATTGGTTATACTGGATTCCCGGTAATTATTCGGTTATATAAAGCGGGAGTGCGAGCAGAGAGCTGCTGCGGTTGGTGGCTGTCAGGATGAGGTGAGCGAGTTAATTGGACAAACGCTGAAAAGCATTCTTCGAAAGGATGAGTGTTTGGCGAACGAGAGCCGAGGATAATTCGACAAAAAATGAACAAGTTGGGAGTTGAAGCGACAAGCATATTAAGCGCCTGACACTGGACGCGAAAAATGCCGCTAGAAAAATGGCGAGGCCCGTCGGAATCGCGAATAAACGATCCACTTTGAGCGTCTCTTTCTCGCGCGTCTCGTAATTGATGAGCCAAGTCGGCTCATCCATCAAAATAAAAGCTCGAGCGGATTCGCAGCAGCGCGACGGCCCAATAAAAAGGCTCCGGCGTGCCTCTACGAGCGTTTCGAGGATGCCTCGGAGTGGGCGCTAAAAGTCCGCGAGTTAGCGCGCTTCCGAATTATCCGAGCTCGCCGCCGGTGGAGCGCCGAAGAAAGGAAAGGCCGGCCGGAAAACGCGCAGGTAGGCGATGATGCGCTATAGCGCTACGGCGCAAGCCTCCAAAACGGTTAATTAAATCAAAGGCCGCCGACGCCGACACGTCGTAAAATCGAGCTGCCGCGGCAGCAGCCGCCACTGTCTGCGCGCAGCTTTTTTCTCCTCTCTCTCTCTCGCTCTTCCTTTTTTCGAGCATTATCCTCGGCGATGACTCGAGCAAATAAAAAACCAGACGAGATAACGCACCTATAAAACCATAACTCCGGCTCCCAACAATTTCTCCGGCAAGCAAATCCATTAAACCTTTTATTTCGGCAGCAGACGTACTAATTGCATCTGAAACGGCCTGCACAGCGACGTCTTTTCCGAAGGTCGGCAGCGCGCCTACTAACGTTTTTCCGAAATCAACTGGTTGCCCGGCCAAACAGGTTGAATGAGCCGCCGGTAAAAAACAGCTAATGAATTAATGAAAGAGCGCCGCGCCGATGACGAGGCCGGGCGCTTTCGACGAGTGATTGATGAAACGCGCGGGCCGACTGGACGCCGATCGCAGCCGGTCGCAGCCGGTCGCAGCCGGTCGCGGCGAGCTTGCCGCGCGCGAGCTTCTCGCCGCAGCGCCGAGCCGCGTCCAGCGCTGCGATCGTTGGCGCGGGCGCCGTTAATTGCTGCGCGAAAATCACGAGAGCGCTGCTGCTGGGCAATTGGCAAAAAATGAGCAGCTCGGCGGCGCGGGGGGAAGAGCCGCCTACGGGCCTGCCGGCGGCCGCTTAATGATCGAGCGAAAGGAGCCGCGCCTAAACGAGCCGTGTCCTCGGGTGTTAGGACTGCCAAGCGCGGCGGAAGCTCGAGCTGGCCTATCCTCGTCGGCCGAACCGGCCTCGTTAAGCTCGCGCGGCCGTGGCGGCGGCGGCGGCGCCTGCCTTCCGTCCTTTTCTGCGGCGCGCGATGCGTAAGCACTTTTTCGCCCGGCGAGCGAGCTTGGTAATCGGCGCGAAATTCGCAGAGAATGGCCGCGATGCCAGTGCCGCCGGGAATGAGTCAATCGGCGCAGGAATGCGCCGCAATTAGCCGACATAAATTGCGGGCGCTTAGCATCGACGGGAATCGGCGCGAGCGACGCAGTCCGGACGAATGGGATATTTAGCGGTGGCCGAGCGGAATAGTCGGGTAGCTGGTAGCCACTTCGAGGCACGAAGAGCGGCAGGGGCAGGGGCCAAGCGGTCGCGCTTAAACGCGAGATTAATGACGAATCGGGCGATCGAGCAAACGAGACAGCGGCCCGTCGTATCGAACACTATCCGGCGACGTCGACACGGCGGCAACGGCGTCTCGTCCATCTCGTTGGCCGCCGCGCGCTCTGGCGGCCCTCGCGCGCTACGCTCTCGCGGCGGCGGCGGCGGCGGCGGCGGCGCGCGCGCGCGCTCGCGTATAATTTTCAGATGCCTCCTTCTCGCTCTCGGCCGTGGCCGCGGCTCGCCGGCCGTATGGCGGCGCGATGAAGGAGAGCGGCCTCCTTTGAAGTCCAGTTGGAAGCCAATTACACGAGTCACACAGGGCCGCATCGCTCGCTCTCGCTCGCTCTCGCTCGGTCTCGCCCGCTCTCGCCCGCTCTCGCCCGCTCTCGCCCGGTCTCGGCCGCTCTCGGCCGCTCTCGGCCGCTCTCCCGGCCTCGCTCTCGCCGCCGCGGCTCCACGGCCTAATGCGCGCGCAGCTCGCGCGGCCTATCGATTAAAAGCTAATTGCCTCGGGTTTTTCGGGCGATCGCGTCGGGCGCGCTGCCCGCGGAGCTCGCCAGCTCGCCAGCTCGCCGATAAACGAGCGTCGATTAATATCGCGAGCGGCCAGTCAGGTGCTAGGCGAGAAAGTGCTGTCGTTATAGGTGTCGGCGCGCAGGTGGCACTCAGCGCTCGAAACTGGGAACTCGGCGGTGAACGAGCCGATCCGCTGCTCGTTCCAGGGGCCAGGGCCCGATATTAATGGCCGGCACGGACCGGATGCTATCGACGATCCGTCCGCGGCACCTCCCGTCGCATTACACCCGAGGCACCTATAGCTCAATTTGCCGACACCTCACTAAGTATAGGTTTGCTGGGTGGTCCTCCGCCGGCCGCTTGCCCAGCGAGCTTTCGCGCCGACCGACGCGCCGACCGACCGACCGACCGACCGACCGACCGACGTCCGCGGCGAGTCCTGCAGCCATCGCCGCGCTGCCGCGCCGATCCAGCGACGCGTCTCGCGCGCGCTCCGAGCTAATGGAAAAATAACGGCGCATGCCCGGCGTATCAATGAAGCGATCTCGTTTGAATGCGCGCGGCTCGCCGCGGTTCGAGCCGTGCAATCAATGTAATGACACGCCGTTGAAACGCAAGGAGAAGCCCATGATTAGGGACATATTGCGCGGGCCACTTCCAAGAACTTCCAGCTGCGCAGCCGCTTTCTTCGGCGCGAGCGCGCCCGAGCCGCCTGCGAAATGCTCGGGTCGGTCCAGTTGCGACGCCCAAATGTTGTGTCAACATGGCACCGAGCCAGTAATGGGCCGCTGGCCCCGCTGGCCCCGCTGGCCCCGCTGGCCCCGCTGCTCTGCCACTCCTCGGCGCTGCGCGACTCGCGACGCCCCAACGATATTCCAGGCTGTCGCGCACCTTCGGCTCTCGTCCACCAAATTATCCGTATTACGCTTCGTTCGCCGCCGCTTCGTTCTGCCAACGCGATGCCTCTTCGCGGCACGTGCAACGACCGAACCGCCGAACATCCTGCGTTTCATTCCGCTCGACCTCGTCGCTCTCGTCGCTCGCACTTGCTTTGCGCACTTTACGCTCTTTCGCTCAGTTTCATGGTTTTCTGTTAGTTTTTCTGCGCGCCAACGGCTGTATCCAGCATAGGAGACTACCAATACAGGCGTACAAACTATTCTTACGGTCAATTCCCGCACCACGTAGATTCGTTCAGCCGCACGGCAATACTCTCTTTCGTCGACTGCAGTAGTAGCAAAAATATTCCGTCTTTCCCTGTCGTCATATTTTCATTCACTTGAATTTCACAGTAATGGATCTTACGCTCGAATAAATCACACGCAATTTTATTACTATAATTTGAAGGGATTACGCGTAATCTCATATTTTTTCCATAGAGCCGAGCACAATATCAAAAAAAATCCGTACGTTTTTCAGAGCGAAAACGAAGAATGCCGTTCGTCTATTTTTGAAAGTTCGCTATTGAAAATGCACCGTATCTCATTGTAGAAAACAAAATCCACGTGGATAAATTGGTGTGTTCGTTGGTGAAATTCGATGCAAAGAAATTTCTCAAAAGTTGCTCTAAAAATATTTTCTGCATACAAAAGTTAAGTTTACCAATCGTCAATAGAGTACTACTGATACTCAAGTAAAACAATTTAAATCTTCATAATGGAGGAAACTGATTGGAACGCTGCGTACTGCATTCTGCAACACGCTACAAAACATTTTCAGAAAATTTTCAAACTGCTCGAACGGAACAAAAGACGGATTCCCAAGCGCTTCAACTTCCGGAATGTGTATATCGAATAATGAAAAACCCGTGTTGAATAATAGTCACTGAAACTTTTCTATTCGATTGTCACGGTCAAAAATAAAGCTCTACAAATCTTATCAAATAACCGATACTCGTGAAACTTGATAGTATGGTCTGGAAAATTCACAGCTGGTAATAATCCATCAAATACAACTTCGCTTCAAATATTCATAATTATTGAGAAGAAATTATTTTTAGGGTATTAATACTTAATTAATTCTGATACTTGCGTAACGCAGTAAAAATGCTAAATTACCAAAAGAACTACATCTCACTAGAAAATATACCGGCAATACCTATAAAATTTCATACGAGAATATTTTTAAAAATACAATCAGAAAACATCAGAATATTGAATCGAGTCTGCGAAGGGATATGCGTCACTGCGATGAAAAATATGAACCACGTGTCGATAGATAAATATATTTAAAAACTTTAACAAATCTATATTTCATATTTACATAATGCTCATTGCATAAAAGCTCATTCTGTAAGAATGCAGAGCAGATCACAATAACTGAACTTTTAAAAAGATGTTTCAGCATTTCGAACGAGGATCAAACAATTTATGCGTTGACAATGCAGATAAAAGTATTTCTGAAATAAGATATCAATATCCGACTCGTAAATTTATTTACTAAACCTTAATAGCCATATTAACAGTACGAAGACTCGTCGATATAAAAGGAAATGTAATTAACTAACTCGACTTCACTTGTACGATGAACACACAGACAGTCCTACACTTGGTTGTCGTCACTATACTCTCTTAGTCTTAGGTACACGCGCTATGCATCTATGTTATATGACAACACAGCTCATAAAAAATTAAGCTGGTTAATAGTCAGTTTGAAAAATATCTGTATACTTTTCGGAAAAAAATGGAAGAGCTACATAAACTGAGGTTGTTTTAATCGTCAATCAAGCGAATTATAATGCCTAGAAAACTTGAAAGGAAAAGGCTAGTCTATCAAAAAGTGAAAAAGTTTTAGTTACTATCATTAAAGCAAACATCCCATTCGATTATCGCGCTCTTCGGTTATTCGTTTAATATATTTTTCACGATTACAAATAATCTAATTTGACATCGTTGTCGTTGATAAATCGATGCTTTTATGCATAAATACGTTCATTCATCATCCAACTAACTGTAACAGCTATACATTTTGTAAATCAGTAATAAAAAAGGGAAACGAAGATGTTGGAAAGTACTTACAGTCGAGAAAGCCAGAGGATTAGCCTGTGCGCGTTATTGAATGCCGGTCACTCGCCAGTCGAAAGATCGTAGCTAAAGAAGGAGGATCTCTTCGTGCATGATTTTTCCATAAACGTATTCGGAAAAATGTTCTTGCGTTCAAGGAACTTGTCATGTTTAAGTACATTTTAGAGCCGTTTTCTTGTCAAATAAATATGTATCCATGAAAGTTTGCTGGCTCACGTGCGAATGGCTGGGGGCGGTTCACCGTCCCACTATGACGTGTTCAAAAATTACCGGTACCTATGTCGTTCTTTATATAGAAAGACTACTTTCTCATCCATTTCATGGCTTACGCCGAAAAAACTGATTTCATGATCAAATGACCACGATTATTGCAAAGGGAAGTTACTTTAGGCATAAGAGAATTTCTTTTCTAACCGAAGATTTATTTGAATATATACTCCTTTGGCAACAAAAGGACTGCCTTCTCCTGGTACGTCCATTCGCTCGTAGCAAAATAGTCCCCTTGCTCCTACAAGATATGATGGCGTCTTATGACATAAGGATTCCTTTTGTTACATCATTTCTTATTGGATAAATTAGTCTGGATCGATGAGACCTCTTTTGCATCAAAAGAATTATATGTTTCCGACCAGAAATTATATTCTGGCTCCAGCATCAAACTTAAAAAAAACAGCAATTCCTCTAACAGCGAAAGCTAGGTTTTATCGAAGAAGATACCTTTTTCAGAACAACAATACTCTTTGATGATGCTGTCTTCTAAACGGCTCGCAATCTTCTTTCATCTTGAATGGGTTTCCAAATAATTTTTCCCTTTAGGATACTTACCAGCCAAATTTATTTGAATAGTTTGCCAACCTTTCGGTGACGTTTTACATCACCATTTTCAAGGCCTACAAGTCAATCGAAAGTTACATTCTGGTAAAGGAGGACTTTAATGATACATCAAGTGTTTTGTTCTAATGCGTGTTATTATGATTATTGCGTACGAAACAATAACGCATCAAATTTTTTCACAAGAACGTTACATTCGATTGACTTGTAGGCTTTGAGAATGGTGGTATAAAACGTCATTGAAACGTTGGCAAAATTTTAAAATCAATTCGGCTTGTAAGGATTTTAACGAGAACAAATTATTTTGATTACCAGAAAAATCCATACAAGTTTAAATAATAATAATCGTTTAGTCATTGATCGGATTTATAAATTATAGATGCTGGGGGCGAGCGATTCAACAATGGTATCATCAATTTTATATTTCGTAACGAATAATATTTCGTTCTGAAGAAACGTGTACGTTTTGCCGAATGACTTTTGATCTGTGCATTTATGAATATAGATTTTTTAGACTTATCCGCGTGGTTAGGAAATGATTATTTGCACTTTTCTTGTTGATTGTCAGAGAAAAAAAATTGATTGTAATTACTTAAAAGATAAAGAAAACTCGGGATTTGAGGCAAAATTTAATATTTTTAAATAAAGTTTTCCGATCACTACTACTAATGTAAATTTGGACTTTATCGAATGTAATTAATGTGGTAAAAGTATTATTATTATTATTATTATTATTTGGTTAACTACATTATTTGGGATCTAAATTTCGAGAGCACAGCTTGTTATGTGAGAACATCCGATGGTGTGTTCTCGATATGAAAATATCGCACGTCCCTCGACATGAGACATGGGAACAAACAGTTGCAACGGGTTATTGGGTTCGTAAAAGCTTATTTGTTTTTGTTATAGTATTATTGCTTTGATTGTAGTTTATGCGTCTATTGACGGGAAGTAGATATAAAGTTTCCGCGGTAAATGTCCAAGAATTGAAAAGGTTGATAAATACGACGGATTTGAAAAGCGCAAAGAATGCATTATTATTGAAGGAATAAGTATGGCCGCAATATTATAAAAGTTTATTTAGGAAAGTGGGCGACGAAGGTTGAAGAGTCGCTATCGATGCAACTGTTACGTAAGCTCCAACGCGGCGCCAGTGCAAGGAAAAACCAGATACAAATACAAGATGCTTCTGGCGATAGGGTGAATTTAGCAAGGATTCGCAAGTGAATTGCGACTTCTTGGACATTGGTGGAGATAGACATGGATGAAAACGAGGCTGAGTGGGAATGGCGTAAGAATTGGAAAAGCCGAGCAAAGTTTGAGTGGAAGGAACCGAGGTAGCAGGCAGGCAGGCAGGCAGGCAGGCAGGCAGGCAGCCAGGCAGCCAGCCAGCCAGCCAGCCAGCCAGCCAGACAGCCAGCCAGCCAAGCAGGCAGGCACGGCATGGTAGACTGAAAGAGTAATGAGCATGAGAAAGGTTTGACTCGGTCTGGAAAGGTTGCGATTAGCATTGCAGCGGTAGATAGCGATAGGTTGTTTTCTGGGGTTCTGTGGTGGAACGTCGTGACCGCAGAGAAAGAGCGCTGTCTCGTTTTTCCGGCCTGGCCGTGGTCTAGCCATCAATGTTTGTATGATAATCGCGTGGTGCAGCGCACGCACTTGCGCAGAGAGCGAGAATAATAAAAGGATCAGCAGCGGCAGAGAGCTCGAGCGGGCGGGGAGGGTCGAGGAAAGGGGGGGCCGAGCGGTCCTTTTGAACGGAGCGCGGCTCCTTTGTCGGTTCTCGCGGCGCCGCGCGATTTGCAACTCAAAATCGCCTCCCTCCCGGTGATTTGCAGCGAATTTATTAAAATGACGCGCGCTCGCTGTTTCTCTCTGCTGAGCATCGACACCTCTCTGTGTCCCCCAGCCCTGGCTCTCTCTCTCTCTCTCTCTCTCTCTCTCTCTCTCTCTCGCTCTCTCTCGCTCTCTCTCTCGCTCTCGCTGCCTGGCCTTCCTTTTCCATTCCGTTCCATTCTTCTCCATTAATTGAGAGCCGTTCAGGGCCTGTCAATTTCAGCAAGAATTATGGCGGCTCTCGAGCGGCCGGGTGCGCGCGCGAGGGCGCGCCACCGACTGGCCGCGGGCGCACTCGTGGATGTCCTTGCAGCTCCGCTCGGCCGGCCCGAGGTGTGGCCGACGATGAAGCCGTCCGTCGATGAGGCGCGCGGTCGGCGGCCGGATTTGAATAATGAATCGGCACGTAGGTGCAGGCAGGTGGCGGGAGTGCGAGCGAGCGAGCGGCCGAGCGCGAGGAGAGCAGGCAACCGCGGCTCGGCGAGGCGGCAGACGGGAGGTGGGCGCAGAGACCACCCCGCGCGGCTCGGCCTCGGTCGGCTCGTTTGATCTCCGTCCCAGGCCGCGGCCGGCCTCGCGCCTTCTCTTTCTCGCGGACGAACGCCTCGGAATCACACCTCGCGCGATTAGCCCGCCCGCGCCCGCCCGCCCCCGCCCGCGCCCACCCGCGCCCACCCGCGCCCACCCGCGCCAATAACGCGCCAATAACGCGGGCGCGGGCGTCGCTGACGATGGGCTGATTTATCCGAGGCCGCGAGGACCACCGAGGGCGAGGAGAAGCAGCCTGTCCGCCGTGCGCGCGACGTCGCGCGTTGACATGCGGCCGTGGCGGCAATAGCGGCAATAGCGGCAATAGCGGCAATAGCGGCAACAGGGGCCTTCCTCCCGAGCCTCCGAGCTGCGGAGGTGAGAGCGGCCTGTAGACGAGGCTGCCGCGCTCTGTAATCAAGCGCCCAGAGCCGCTCTCGCTCGCTAACAGCTATTAACCCATCCCGCGCGACTCGATTTGCCGCTCCGATCGATCCACGCGCCCGCAGCATTCTTGCCACCTATGCAGTTCGTTAGCGCGGTCCGACGGGGAAAACCGGGCCCGGCGAGCGCGCCTCCGCGGAAACTCGGAGGCGCGCAGCTTTGCGGAATCGGCTCGAAGGCGCTGCATGACGAACGCCAGACTCGCGGCGCGCAACAGGCGCGACTTAATAAATTATATCCGCGTGCGCGAACCTGCGGAGCCGCGCGCCGTTCAAAAAGCTTCTTTTCTCGGAACGGCGCAGCGCGGCGAGCGGCGAGCGGAGAGCGGCGAGCGGAGAGCGGAGAGCGGCGAGCGGAGCGCGGAGCGCGCGGCAGCGAGTTCTCGCGCTGCTATTTTTGCCCAATAATTTCTTTTCATCTCGCGCCGCTCGCAGCCAAGTTTCGCTTTCTCGGGCGCGGATCGGGGACTCGATGCTTGCTGGGTTATGGTCTTTAAACACATATATACACACAGATTCTACTTGATCTTCAGCTTCATCGTGTTCAGCTCCCATTTATTATGTACACATTCTCTACTGGCTTCCGATTCTAGGTCCACTACTTGGCTATGTAACAATGCAACTCTACGAGTTTCAATCGGTCGCCACGCGACACATCAATCGACGATATACACGGTACAATCAGTTATCATCATATATAATATAGATCTATCCTAGACGCAGTAGACAAAGTTCTGGCTAGTTTCATAAATAGCTTATACGCAATGACGCAATGACGCAATGACGCAATGACGCAATGCACATCGAACAGCGCAGCTCTGATAGGACGCCCTGAGCGGGCGCCACGACTCCTTCGATATTTACAGTACTCGCGGACTAACTATGTACACGGTGTATCAGAGACTGGCAGCGATAATATCTAAACAACAGCCTGCGGAGCTCGCCAACGAACTGGCGAACGAGAGTCGAGTAAAGTAAAATAATTTATGATAATTACACTATAATACAGAGAAAGCGAACGAGCGCTGGCGGCGCTTAGGGCTTGTCGTCGAGGGAGGAGGAGGCGGGCAGCGGCCGCTTCTTCAAGATGCCCAGGTCCTGCACGTTCTCCAGGAAGGTCTTGTGGTGCTGGGCGACCAGCAGCGGGTTCACCGTCTGCACGTCCTTCTTCAGCTCCTCCATGTCGCGCTTGAGCTTGGCGCGCCGGTTCTGGAACCAGGTGATGACCTGCGCGTTGCTCAGGCCCAGCTGCGCGGCGATCTCGTCGCGGTCCGCCGGCGACAGGTACTTCTGGTACAGGAAGCGCTTCTCCAGCTCGAAGATCTGCTGGTTGGTGAAGGCCGTCCGGCTCTTTCGCTTCTTCTTCGGCTGCTGCCGGTTGTTGAACAGGTTCAGGTGGCTGGCTTGCTCTGCAACACGGAATAATGCCGGCCGATTACTCCGATGCATCCGCGCCAAGCGCGTCGAGCCGATCGGAGGGATCGGCCGGCAGCCGCTGACGCGCCGCGGCGGCCAGCGCGAGGCCGGCTAAACGCTCGAGGAGCGCGAAAGAGGCGCTGAGATATTAGTTTCTGCGGTCGGCCGCTGCCGCTGCTCCGCGCCGGGATTTAATTCGTTTGATGTTCGCCAATTCGCCGCGGCCGCCGCTCTCTCCAATTGCCAAGCGGCTATCTCTCCGTCGCCGCCGGCGCGCACCGCCATTTATCGCTCGGCGACGCGCTCGCCGCCGCGCTCGACGCCGCGCTCGACGCCGCGCTCGACGCCGCGCTCGACGCCGCGCTCGACGCCGCGCTCGACGCCGCGACGCCCGCGGAGGCCGTCTCGGGTTTCGCCCTCGCCGGGGCGCCCCGCCGCGAAAGCGGAGCACCTCGGGGGCCGCGCTGGCCCGCGCATCCGGCCCTACGCGGAAAAGCCGCGGGGACGCGCGGCCGTCGCTTCGTCGAATCGATCAAGGAAGGCGGCCGGTCGGTGGGCCGTCCGCTCGCGGGATTCATCTTCATTAGGACGTCCCGCGGCGCTCGATCGTTCCCACTGTTCCCACCTGGTCGTTCCGGAGCCGCCGCCGGCCACCAGCCTGGCTCGCGGACCGCTCGCGGACCGCTCGACGGAGGCGATCCCCCGCGCGCGGGTGGTCGGCTCGGCCGAACAGTTGGCCGGCGCGGTCGGCGGCTCCTCGCGAGGCTGCTGGCTATTTCGAGGGGCGAGGCAGCGGCCGCACGTGGTGCAGATTAGCGCAATTACCGCGCGCGTCTCCGTCGCCCGAGCCGTCCGCGACGTCTTTATCCGTCGCAGCCGCTGCCAATCGCTCGCTCGGCTGGCGCGTTCGCTTTTCAGAAGCTATCCGTCAAGCCAACTCGGCGGCGCGCGCATCAATCAGTTAGCGCCGGCCGTCCCGCGGGAACGGGGAGCTGCGGCAGCGCAGCGGAAAAGATGCGCACGCGGCCCGGTCGTTAGTTACGACGTCGTCACGTCTGCAATTAGAAGCCGCTAACTGTTTTGCCGCTCGTCCTCCCGCTAACACAGCTCGAGACAAGTTTACAGCCTCGCCTCGAGCCCCGTGCTCGCGCGGCTGCCGACGAACGGAGCACCCGACGACGGACGCCCGGCCCGGCTGGTTCCGCGAAGCGCGCGCGCGCGCGGCGCCCGGCCCGACCCGAGGCCCGCGCTCGACCGGGTCGCGCGTCGCGCCGAGCCGCGCCGAGCCGCGCCGAGCCGCGCCGACCCGCGCCGACCCGCGCCGACCCGCGCCGACCCGCGCCGCAGTTCGCCGCGATCGCTCTATTACGAGTGTAATACCGCGCGCGTCGCGGCTTAATTTAGGACGCGACGCACTCGCGACAAATGCCTCCCAGCGACAGATCTAACTGCGCTGCCGAGCTTCTCCGCCGCTGCGCCGCTATTAGCCCACCTACGTGACGGCCTGCGACTCGGCGATGACAGCACTTTTTTTACCCGGTCCACTTCGAGGAACGCTCCGCTCTAAATATCGGAGTTATGCTCGCGACGCATTCTTCCGCGAGTCTTTCTCTCCGGACGAGCTCTTACGACCAGTCGACTCTGCCGAGTATTTTCGGAGCGATAGATCGGATGGAAAGTTGGTCGGATACGTCGAGGAGGACCGAGCGGGGGCCGACCACCGATTGCCGATGGCCAGCTATTCGACGGTGAAAACTCGCGCGTCGAGTATTTTCGATGGGAAGAGCACGCGTTCGACGAAGCCTCGACTGCTCGAGAGCTACGTACGCGATTGGGATCTCGGTAATAAAAGGCTGAAACGCTCCCGCGATCCGTGGATAGCGACGCGGTGCGCACGCAACCGATTACGCGAACGGCCGATGAAAATAATAATTCATTTAATGAAACGGCAGCGCGCCAGACACTTCGATGGACTGATTTTAGCGAGAGAAATTATAATTACATAGCGCAAGGCGCGAGAAAACAACTGGAGGATTAATCGATCGATCAAGTCGATCTCGCGGTCAGGAGGCTTCCGAAGGCACGACGCTCGTTCATTCGCACTGGTTCGCCGCGTCGTTATACAGTCGCGATCGGTGCGAGCTTGACGAATGAACGCGCGAGCACGTTCGACAGAAGGCTCGGATCTCTCGCGATCGCGCGATCGACCGATTACGGCGGCGACTACGTCGGTTTTATTTTCTCGTCTCGTTAGCGCATCTCTGGACGAACGCACGAATGACAGGATTATAAGTGGTACTCTCGCGGGGCGCGCGCTGTTTAAATGCAATTTGTGGAAAACCACTTCCCAATTCGAGCGCGCGTTCGCTGGGAATTGGTAGTGCCACGATTAACCTTTCCAAAATTGCCGCCGAGCTCCACGATCTGGTCCGCGATACGGGATGAATTACGTTCGCGACGAGTTGGTGCTCTCGCGAGCCGAGGCGGGCCCGCGAACGCGCGACGCACGGAGACGCCAAGCGCACTTGTTCCGGGCTGGCGCGTCGCTGGTGGCCGAATCCCGAGTAAGTGCAGCGCGAACGAGAGGGAGGCGGGCATCGGCTCGCACACTGGCCGGCGCAGGCTCACGGCAGGAGGCTGCACGGCGTCGCGGCAGGACCGCGCGGGACGAGCGACGGCTCGGCAGCTAAGTGAAACGCACGGAGGCACGGGAGCATAATAACGACGTTTGTCGAAGCCGGCCGGCCGAAAGCGGTGCGAGACGCGTAAACGATACAACCATCGGATAATCGAGGCTCGGCAGGCTCTTATTTGTCACAGCTCCGCGGGCAACGAGCAGTCGAGGCGGACGGCGTTGCGCAAGCGCGCAGCCTTGGCTGGCCGAGGGCACAAAGCGCGCAGCTGTATCAACACGCGCTCGCGCCCTTAATAGCTGCTGGCTGCTCCGGGTTGCCGTCCGCGTTCCGTGCTCGGCTGCCGGCGGAGCCGCCGCTCCGGGCCGCAGGATTCCGTTAGGTTCGGCGCGGGGCCGCGGCTGCTGCACCTGTGCCGAGCCGGGCGCGTCGAATGGAGCGCCGAGAGCGGCGTGATCGAGCCGCTTTTTCCGCGCGATCGAATCGAGGGCTGGCGGCGCTCGGCGGCGCTCGGCGGCGCTGGCGGCGCGTCGGACGCGCCGGATGAGCAGATGCCCGATTCGAGGCGGCAGCGCCGCCGCTCCATCGAGATTTCTATTAAGCGCCCGGGCGCTGGCGCGCCCCGCTTTTTGCAGCCGAAAATTGATCCCGGCCGTTAGCAGGTGGCAGCTTTCCGCCCGGCTGGCTGCTCGGATTGCGCGCTCGCTCGGAAGCATGACTAACCGATCGCCGGGCGTGTGACTCGGCAACTTGCCGCCGCGCCGAAAGCGAGCTCGGGCTCGCCGACGACGCCGGCGCGGCTCGGCGCGCGCGCGCCCCTCCTCCCGCGAGGCCGGTGGCGGCCGCCCAGCGCCGGCTCGCCGGGCGTAATCGGGCGCGAGCGCGGCGGACGGTCGATTAGCGCGCGCCCGAGGGCTGCGACGGGGCGGCCCCGGCGGCTCGCCCCCCGGCCGGCCCGCTCGCCCGCTCGAGGGCGACGGAATAGCGAGCTGTAAATTGCCCGTAGATGGAGCGTCGTTTGTCACTCGGCGCGCGCGCCCGCTTTTCCATTTTCCGCGCGATTTGGCCGCGCGTATGCAGCGCGAACGACCTAGTAGACAATGAGGCGCGCGAGCCCCCAGCCACCCTCGCCGAGCGCTCCGGCTTTATTACAAATTGCACCGCATTCCTGGCGGGCGAGCCATAAATCGCACGGGCGCGGACAAAAGGGCGAAAAAGGCGGGCGGCGGCGGCGGCGGCGACGGCGGCGGCGGCGGCCGCGGAGTCAAGACGAGTCGAGACGAGCCGAGACGAGCCGAGACGAACCGCACTCGCAAGCTCGGCTGGCTGCCGGGAGCCGCCGCGCGGCGACTAACGAGCTGCTAGCCGGCGCGGAGCAGCGGATAATGAGGATCGCGTGTGTTGTGCGTTGGCCGTTGTTTAAGGGCGAAATTCAATATCGGCGCGGCCCGATGCTCGATGCTCCGTGTATCGCTCGTTATTATAATGCCGGCCGCGGCGGGGCGCCCGTTAAGTCTCCCCTAGGTTTACACAAGCTCGCCGGGCCAAGTCGCGCGCCGCGCCAACGTCAACATCTCGCGCTGGCTGCGCGTGGCGGCGTGCCCCGGACGATCCGCCGCGCAGCTGCATTCCGATCGGATTCACTAATTGAGCGGCGGGCGCGGCCCGGTTGCCGGTGCCGGTGCGCGGCCCGGCGGCCGGCGGACGCGGCGACGCGCCGGATCGATCGCGTGAGCGCGAGCGCGCTGCGCCGCAGCTGCTTCCCGGAGAGCGGCGCGCGGACAGGCGCGTCCTTTGTCGGGCGAGTTTCGCGGAAGGCAGACCGCAGCGTCGCGAGTACGTCTCAATTGGGGCCGGGAACAAGGGCGAGGATGTGCGAGCGGCCAAATTGGCGCTGCGGGCCGCGCTTTGTCCGGCCGCCGCGGATTGATTCGGACGGGGCCGGCACGCGATGCCCGGAGCGCGCCGCCGCAGCGCCGCCGGCCGTGGATCGATGAGCCGCCCGGTGCGCGCTCGGCCGGTTAGCACCTCGCCGGAGCCGGCCGCGCAATTAGCACGCCGCCCGGCCGTCGATTTGCATGTGAAACGGGCGAGCGCGAGTGGGCGCAGCCTCGTTCGACAATGAGCCGCGGCGGCGCTGATCCGCCGTCGTCTGGCGCGCCGCGGTGCTCGCATGCGAGCCGGTCAGCCGAGCACAATGGACGCGGGAAGCGGAGAGCGAGCGCGACTGCACGCGAGCCGCGGCCGCGAGCCGACAGCCGAGAGCCGAGAGCCGAGAGCCGAGAGCCGAGAGCCGGCTTTTACGAGGCGCGACGGAAGCCTTTTAAGAGTTGGAGCAGGCCGAGGCGAGCACGCCAAACAATGGTCTCGCGGCAGAGACTGAGCTGTAAAGCTTTATGGCTCTATTGCATTCTTCTTCGGCCGCTCGCTCTCGGCACGTAGGCCGCTCGCTCGCGTTCTGCGGGCCGGCGGCCGTTCAATAGCTGCCGAATCAATTGCCCAAATTGCTCCTCGGAGCCGCCAATATCCGGCGGCGCGCGCCCCGCTCGCCCGCCGCCCGCCGCCCTCGAATCATTCTCAATTAACTCGCGGCGACTTAAGTCGTATTTATGTCGCCGGCGCGTCTCCGCCCGCCGGGCGATGTGCCTGCCTGTCGCAGCCAGCGGCGATTTATGTCGGCGATCCGTCTCGGTTTGCAGCCCCGCGCGCGACACTCGACTCCGAACGCGTTATTGCGCCCGGCCCTCCAAGGACTCCCCGCTGAATTGATTTGCGCCCGGCCCGACTGCGTCGATTTGTCGCCCGCTCGCCCCGCAGGGCCGCGCACAGCCTGCGCCGTAATTTCCGAGTAATGAGACAGCTCTTACGGGCGCGGGAGCAGACGAGAAGCAGCAAGGCGGGCTCGGCGAGCGGCGAGCGCCAGCAGGCCCGAAAGCGAGAGAGAGAGAGATAAAAGCTGGAGCGCGTAACGGCGGTAGCGTCTCCCTCTCGCTCTCCAGAAAGAGGCTCCAAATCGATCTCCCTTCGGCTGGCGCTGCCTCTGCTTTGGAAAGCCGGCGAAACAGAAGAGGGCCACTTAACAGCGGGAGAGCCGACAAAAAACACGGAGGTCTGTTTGCCCCGGGCAAACTGTCACAACAAGCTGACCTGCAGCAGCAGCAGCGCGCGAGGCAGGCCAGGCGTCGCGGCGAGCTCGCGACTGCAGCCCGAGCCGGCGAGGCGCTCGCGGGCGCTGCGCCGCGAGTGGCGCCGAGGCCGAGAGCGCGCGCCGATGGCGCCGATCGCGCCGCCGCCGGCTGGCCGATTCCGGATCCGCGGAGCGCAATTTGCCCGTCCGGGCGCTGCAACGAATGGCTCTATTGATTTTTGCCGAGCGCGCGCAACGCTGCCGGATAATTTAATAACAGTGCCGTCTGGCCGGCTCGCGGCTGTTGTGCCCGGCCGCCCAGCGCTCGGATCGAGGAGAGATAAGTAGAAGGCGCGCGGGAGAAAGGATATCATAATCAGAGCCAAATTGCTAATACGTGCGGGGGGCTACCGTGCGCCGGTGCCGCTCGCTCGCTCGCTAATCTCATTTGAATGGCAGCCGTCGGAACACGTAGCCGCTCGGCCCTCCGCGCCTCGATCGCCGGCCAATTGCCGCAGATATCATCGGGACGGCAGGGATCCTCGTGCGCGTAATCGACACCGCGCCCCGTCCGCCGCTCCGCTCCTCCCGCCCGCTTTCTTCGCTCCCGCGGCCGAGCGCTCGCCCACGAGAAATTGGGTCGGGCGCGCTTCGGCAATTAAATTTATTGCAGCCCGAGACACATCTATAAACAAGCTCGTAAAACGCGCGAGATTTTACTGTCAGGGCTTTACGGGCAATTGGCTGCGCATCGGCAGCGCTCCTAGCCTGCGCCCGCCTGCCAACACAAAGGCCCAACAAAACACATCAAGGGCCTCGCGCGCCGCAAGAGGACAATTAAAAAGCCGACGCGCAGCGCCGACGAACAATGTGCGGGGCCGCGCCGCTCCAAAGCCGCGCCGCGCGCCGTCCGTCGGCTGCCTGGCTTACGCCCGGCCGCCCGGCCGTCCGGCTCCCGTCGGCGCGAGACTGGTACGCTACCTTGGCTGTGCTCGCCGGCGTCGAAGGTCTTGCTGGTCATCTGGAAGAGGGCGTCCAGCGGACTGCCCTGTCCGGGCGCCCGCTTGCCCGCCTGCTGCGACTGCTGCTGCTGCGCGGCCTTCCTGCGCAGCGCCGACTGCTGGCCGGCCTGCAGGCCCGGGTGCAGCGCGTACGGGTGGTGCGGCTGCTGCAGCTGCTGGCGCTGCAGGTGCTGGTGGAGCAGCGGGTCGGGGCTGCCCGAGTCCGAGACGGAGCTGCGGCCCGACGAGGAGGAGCTGCTGAGCGGCGGCTCGCTGATGGAGCCCGACATGGAGGCCAGCGACACGCCCATGAGCGACAGGTCGCGCGGCAGCTGGGCCAGCGGGTGCAGCTGGTGCTGGTGCGGCGGCAGGCCGAGCAGCGCCGGCTGCGCGGGCGGCTGGCGCAGGCCGAGGGGCGCCGGCCGCCGGCCGCGCGGCGGCGCCTGGCCGGGCTGGCGCGGGGCCGGCGGACTGCTGCACCCGCTGCCGCTGTCCCACGGCCGCACAATCTTGGCCTTGGGCCTGTGCGACAGGATGTCGAGGATGCTGAAGGACTTGACGCCGCGCTCGCGCGCCGCCGCCGCCTCCTCCTCCTCCTCCTCCTCCTCGTCCGAGTGGGCCTGCTGCTGCTGCTGCTGCTGATGCTGCTGCTGGAGCGGCACCATCTTCAGCCGTTTGAGCGGCTTGAAGTAGTCGTCGGAGCCGAGGCGCCGCCGCTCGCCGCCGGCGCCCGCCTGCTCCTCCTCGGCCGGGCGCAGCGAGGTGAGCTCGGCGCCGAGCCGCCGGCGCCCGTACCTCGAGTCGTCCTCCTCGTCGGCGTCCTCGGCCTCCTCGGCCTCGTCCGCCCCCCCGTCGGCCTCGTCCGCCTCCTCGGCCTCCTCGGCCTCGCCCGCCACGCGGCGCCTTCGCCGCGGCCGCGGCTGCACCACCAGGGGCAGCGGGCTCGGGCAGCCGACGGAGATCTCGTCGTCGTCGAGGCCGCCGCCGCCGCCGCCGCCGCCGCCACCGCCGCCGCCGCCGGCCGGGCGCCGCTCGCCCGAGCCCGGCCGCGCGCGCGCCCCGGGCGAGGCGCTGCGCCGGCGCTGGCAGCCCCCCGCCGACGCGGCCGCGCCGCCGGGCGACAGCGGGTACGCGGCCTCGGCCATCTCCGTGCTGCACATCGCGCAGCCGTCTCGCTGCAGCGTGCTGGCTGGTCGGCGCCGACGGCGACTCGCTGCTGCAATACGTCAACACCACCGCACAACTCGGACACCACTCGCGCGCCGCATGTCCCAGGGTCCGCGGCCGATCAGCGCGCTGGCTCACTCGCCGCCTGGCCGCCGCATCCTGGCTCGCGGCGGGGCTGGTGCGTGCCAAACGATCTGCGTCCGCCGGACAGACAGGCAGAGAGGAAGCAGCGAGCGACGGTGCACCGAGGCGTCAGAGCGGGCCTGTGACTGGGAGCGCTTTGAGCGGCGGCGGCGTCGCGCGCGCTCGCTCGGCGCGGCGGCGGCCGGAGTGGGGCGGCGGGCGCGGCCGCCGCGGCGAGCGGCGCGCGCGCGCCCATTGGCCTGGGCGGGGCCTCGCGGGCCGGGCGCCGCCCCAAAATGACGACCGCGGCGATTTTTACGGCGCGCCCGAGCCGCCCGCGCCGGCCCGGGCCGCCGGGCCGCGCCAGTCCTCGCCGCGCGCGGCTGGGGCTCGGCCGCGCGGGCTCTGCCTTGCCGACCCGCCGCCGCCGGTCGCACCCGGCCACGACCATCGACCGCCGGGGCTAATTGCAGGATGCGCGCTCCTCGGCCGTCTGCGCCTCGCGCACAGTCAGTCTCGGGGCTAATTATCGAGCTTCTTCGTTGCCACGGCCTCCTTCGTGTTCGTTACGCGGCCGCCTCCCGACGGCTATCGCGCTGGGCAATCTCCCGGCTGATTTACATGTCTCCCAGATACGCCGGGCGATCGCTCGAAATCTGCCTGCCGGCGCGGTCGGCCGACTCTGTCTTCGCTCCGGGATCATGCGACGATGAACGTACTCGCGGCATCGGCCCTAGTGCGCCCACCGCGACAATCGCTGCTTCGTTTCGGTGCCTGCCGTCGCGTTGTCTCTCCTTCTTTTCGATGTTCGTTCGCTGCTCGCATGTAGACCACGTCCTGTCGTCGCTGTGCACAGCACACGGTTCGTCCGCGTCTTGCCAGGATTCTCCGACGGTCGGTGAATCTGGCCAGCGAGGTGGCGGCATAGCGACATTACTCGCACTGCATATCGCAGCGATCGCCAAGATTGCAACGCGAGCCTGTACACGCGGGGGCCTCCCGTTGGACTGTGTCGAGCAATGAAACTATTTCGAGACATCGGTAAAATTGCAACCGCGATCGATTGGACACTTCGCGCTAGTATATCCAAAGCTAAGACGCGATCTCGAGTCCTCGAGAAGAATCGTCACCGGCGTTGAAGATTAAAGCTGCGAGTCATCGCTGAAACGAGATGCATTACGCGCTGTTTGTATTGAGGTACGTATCGCGAGTTGTCGTTAAGATCAGCTGGGAAGCATTGCGCAATTGAAAATGACATTCGTCCACTTTCTGTTATAACTTGGCAAGATGTGTCAAGATCGCAGCCGGACCGTAATTGCTAGACTTCGCGGAAGCTGTCAGCGGTCGGCTAATTTCGAGCCGAATGACAATGCGGAGAGCAATTTGACAAGTGCTATCCGAATAAGACGCGTAGCCCGAGCCGCATGCGGGAACAAAAGAGAGTCGTTCGAGCTTGAGAAACTCGGCATCCGTTTGAAAATGCACGGCCGAGCAAAAAGACGTTCTCGGAGGAAATACACAAAATATGCAGTGCACACGTGTACGAAAGGCGACGCCGAGAGGAGAGTGGCTCCAATTTGGACTAATTTCAATGTTCGACTGGCGAATGTACGATATAATGCATATGCAAGCGCAGCGAGTGGCACTGAATGAATTCTTTTGGGGAGCTAATGAGTGCGGGTAGCTTTTGCAAAATGAAGCAGCCACGAGAATCTCGAGAGCCGCGGAGGAAAAGCATTGGGTATGCGAGCGAGAAGGAAGAAAGGAAGGGGACTCGAAGTGGGCAGAGAGCGCATCGCGCAACACAAAGAGGCGCGAGCTGGCCGCCTGCAGCAGACGGGCGGAGAGGAGAGGAGAGGAGAAGAGAGGAGAGGAGAGGAGAGGAGCGGAGCGGAGAGGAGCGGAGCGCTGAGGAGCGGAGAGGAGAGGAGAAGAGAGGAGGGCGCAGCCGGCAAAATTACTATGATAGCTTGCCACTGAATTCGCCGGCGCCTTTGATGTCGAGTCGTTTAGCGTGATTTGCTGACGTTTAGGGAGGTCCCGCGGCCAAAGTGGAATAGACGAACGAGCGGCGCACGCAACTACGTGTACGCGGACCGACTGCCATAGCCCGCGCGTGCGACGAGCGCGACTCGGGCTTATCCGCGCCGAGCCGACGAGCCGACGAGCCGACGAGCCGACGAGCCGACGAGCGACGTATCGAGCGAGCGAAACACCTACTTATCCGCGCAATCGGCGAGAGGGAGCGCGCGGCCGAGCACGCGACGCCGACGGAATATCCAGCCGGCGCGAGCGGCGAGCCGCGAGCCGCGAACAGCAACCCCCGGCGAGCGCGCCGCCGAGCGACGGCAGCCTCGGCGCCGCCGCCGCCCGCCTCGGGACCGAGGCTCCGCCCCGTCGCTCGGCCATTGGTCGCCGCGACTCCGAACTTGCCTCTTCTCACCGGCGGACCACACGCAACATCACCTGCTGCTCTGCCTTCCTGCTTCCGCCTCGCGCCTTCCTCCTTCCGCGGGCTCGCGACGAATTGCGTCTGTCGGTAACGAGTTTCGGATTTTTCCGAGCCGGGCTCTCGCCGCGCGACGACGAGGGGAGCCCGAGCTCGGCGGGCGCGATCCTCGCCTCGGCGTGATCGGCGCCAGGTCGCGGTCCCCCGGCTCCTCGGATCGATACGCCGAGTCGCCGAGTCGCCGAGCCGTCGACAGCTGCCGGCGGATCGATGAAATTCGTGCAGCGCGCAGTAATCGTGGCGAGGCAACGGGCCGCTCGCTCCGCGGGGGCTCGCGGCTTAAATTGGCTTGAATTGGCTTAAATCGGGGCAGTGAAATAAAAAGCGCGCGCGGCTATGATTAATTTGCCCGGCAACGAATCGCGCAGCCTAACCGCATATCTCGCGAAAGCCCAGGCCGACTGCCCAATCAATTATTAAGCGCGCACCTCGAGTCGCAGTCTCGCGATTGCCTCGCTGCTACTGCGCCGCCCGGCTGTAAAACGTTGCCAAAGGGTTGCGGTTTTCCAGCGCGACTCGAGCCCCGGCAATTACACGCTTGCCAAGGTCGAGCGCGTCGCGTGCGCGGCGAGTCCGCGAGCGAGCAAGCATATGGCGCGCTCGAGCCCTCGCTCGCCGCCCGGTCCGCGCGCCGCTCGGCCGGTTGATACGCCCGCAGCGCCCAAACCTATGCAAATGCGCTTCCGCAGCCAGCCTTGTAGATCGACGGATTAAAGCTCGAGGAGCGCTTTCGTGTCGATCGCCTATCGACGCCCCGTGCCTGCGCGCCGCCGCTGCAGATGCGCGCGTTTCGCGCCTCGCTGCGCACCGCTTCCCCCGGCTGTTCTCGCCTGCCGCTCTTGGTCCGCTGCTACCTGTCGCGCTCCGCTCCTCGGCGAGCCGAGCGAGACGCCCCTCGTCGCGCCTATCGATCCTTCCAATTTCGCGACCGGCAACTTATCTGCGATTCTCGTCGACGCCTCGTTACGACGAGCCAGCAGCACTGTCGCCGCCTCGTTGTCTTGGCACGGCACGCTCTGTATCGATAGTCTGCGCCAGCGCCGCAACAAACTCACGCTCCGAGAGTCGCTGCCTCGCGTGCGTGCGAAGGATATATTTTTAGCTGTCTGCTACAGCGTTTAATGCGCCGCATCGATAGACTGCCTTCGTCGGACGGAATGCCCACCCTTTTTCTGCATCGGCACTGTCGTCGGATAGCCAAATCACCCGGATAATCACAGCTAAGGGCTGTATCCTTCAGCTACTTCCTTTGGCGAATTCTCCAAATGCGTATGTCGTGCGTATATGACTTTACCAACATCCAGCCATTTGGATGCTGCATCAGACAGACTAACAAAAGTGTCCTAAGACGTTCCCGAAGCTCGCCAAATCATCTCAGATTCGAAGCTCACTTCTTTTAAATATCCATGGATTAATGCAATACTTCGCATCGAATCGTCCTTTTCACAAGGAGAAAACAAAACTAAGATAAAAGCGAGGCAAAGGTGCCACGCTCGTGTAATCCTTCCAAATAATAAATATCACTTTCAGCTAAATTCCTATTGAAACAAGCAAATGTGATGAATATTTCGGAAACAAGCAATCGAGATTCAATCGCCGATGTGAGTTTGCTTACAGCCTAACGTTTTGAGATTTCCAGGGCTACATTATGTCAGAGGTGTTTTAAGCAATTCAGCGTAGACTGAAAACCAATACTATGTCGTGCTCTATTTTCTTGCAATCTCCGGTAAGATCTGGAACAGTAAAACAGTTGAGGATACTAAAACTTGAGAGTATTTGGTCGCGAAGCCGTAAACCATTTGGAATATACAATGTACCAACAAATAACTATGTATATCTTTTGTTTGTCGATGACAATTTTCTTCATAAATGATTTTATTTAGACTAAAGCAGACTGCTGCGATGTCCTCCCAAATTGGAAATAATAACATAGTAGTATCAAATAAAGAGAAGTAAAGGTTGTACCTTTCAATTTGCTTTCAACCACCCACCTTCTGTGTATTATGACTCATTGAATTCAAAACTTGACGGTTACACTTCAAAACAATTCTTTTTAATTGGATTTTCACCACAGAGCTATTCACTTATTTATTGGCTTTGTCATTGTAACAATTTGCGTGTGGCGATAGAAATTTAGCTTTTTTAAATTATTTTCATTTTCAATTCATTTTTGGATTAGCCTTTTTTGGACGAAACAGAGCACTGAGCAAGGTTAAGAATTCAATCCCAGACCAATTACGGTGACAGGCAACGTAAACGCTGTTACGAACGGCATGTCAGATTAGGAAAGAATAACGGTATTTTTGCAATTTTGACCGTCTGCAATGCAAAAGTTCTAAGCTATCGTCCAATTTTCACCGCTACAATCTGATAACAAATTTTTTATCCTTGTACAATAATACGATCGTATCTTCAATCTGGGTAGATAATCACTGGTTACTTTGTAATTAAGTTGTCTCACAAGAACAGACATATTGCAAAATGGCTTTCGTGTTTTTCGTTATATAATGCTCGTGTTGTGTACATAAATGCCCCTTGACATCAAGCGGTGATAATCGGCGAATTGCTCAAACTGCTATGTGTATATTGTCAATTGTTTTCGATAATAATTGAGTATTAAATAGGCAA